GGGGGCGGGCTTCGGGCCCCCCCCCCTTTCGCGGTCCGGGAAGGGGGGGTGGGCCACCCCCCTCCTTTGAAACAGGGGCGGGGGGGCTTCGAAAGCTACCCCCCCCTCCACTTCTTTTCGTGGCCGGAAAATGGATGGCTTATCCAAAAGCTTCCGCCTTGATTGTTTTGCAAGACGTCGGAGGTCCGGGTCCCGGGGCCCGTCCCGGCCGATCTCTCCTCTGCTGGGGCCGGAGGCAGAAAATCTCCAAACCCTTCCGCCTTGATGTTTTCAAGACGTTGGAGGTCTGGGTCCCGGGGCCCGCCCCGGCCGACCTCCATGAGGGGGGGGGGGCCTCCCGGAGGCTTCCCTTCAGGAGGAGGAGGCCTCCTAGAGGTTTGTATGGGGACCTCCTTAGGGAGACCCCTATATGCGATCTCTCCCCTCCGGCGGCGGGCTTCCAGAGCGGCCCCGGGGGCTGCCCGGGGAGCGGGCTTCGGAGGCCGGGGCGCGGCGGAGGGGCTTCCCCTTAGGCCTCGGGCCCCGAGCCCCGAGCCAGGCAGGCGACCTCGAACCTCGAGCTTCCCCGAATTTCGATCCTCGTTCCTCGACCCTGGATCGGGGGAAGGAGAAGCGACGCCAACACCGCCAGGGAGGCTACCTCCAGCGAGGCGGCTTGGCGGTGCAACGCACGCGCGCATCTCAGCGCGCACCGCAGAATGTTCGATTGAATCGAGCCATTTGGTGCTCGGACGGCCAGTTTAGCTGGAGCCTCCTGGGCGCAAATGGGGGTTAGGGTGATGCGGGCGGACTCGGGGGGACTTGTAAATTCCAGCGGCGCTCCTTTGTCCATGAGGATTTGGTTTCCATTGTTTTCTCTGGAATCCAAACGCGCTCCATTTTGTCACAAGGATCCCTTCTGAAATTCTATACACAACAATGGTGCTGCGTTGCACGCGGCCGATGTGGTGCACGCAGGCGCCGTGGCGTGCACAGGCACTGCAATGCACGCAGGCATTGCGATGTACACTGGTGCTGTGTTGCGCACGGCTGATGTGGCGTACGGATGCGCTGTGGTGTACACAGGAGCTGCTGTGCCCGCAGGCGCGGTGGCACAAACTGACGCTGTGTTGCACGCGGCTGCTGTCGTGTACATCGGCGGTGTGGTGTACACAGGCGCTGTGGCGCACGCGGGTAATGTAATGTACACAGGCGTTGTGGTGCATATCGCCACCTACATGTTCGTGCTACCCGTCCTCCGTCATCCCTAACCATTCCCAAACGCCGCCGGCGCGAAACGCGACGTCATCGACCCCCTCCCCCCCCAGATGATTGCCGCCATCGGCCCGGACTTAATTATCCCGGCAAAGCAACCTAACAGCGATGTGTAGGAGCATATCTGGAAGCATTCCCCTTAAGATTCAGATGAGGACCCTGTTGTAGAATCCTGTTGTTCTCGCAGTCGTAGTCGCATTCGCGATGGCAGTCGCAGCGGCAACGGCAGTCGCAGTCACAGCCTCAGCCTCAGCATGCCTCAGCCTCAGCCTCAGCCTCAGCCTCAGCCTCAGCCTCAGCCTCAGCCTGCCTCAGCCTCAGCCTCAGCCTGCTTCAGCCTCAGCCTCAGTCTGCCTTCAGCCTCGGCCTCAGCCTCAGCCTGCCTCAGCCTCAGCCTGCATCAGCCTCAGCCTCAGCCTCAGCCTGCCTCAGCATCAGCCTGCCTCAGCCTCAGCCTCAGCCTGCCTCAGCCTCAGCCTCAGCCTGCTCAGCCTCAGCCTCAGTCTGCCTCAGCCTCAGCCTCAGCCTCAGCCTCAGCCTCAGCCTCAGCCTCAGCCTCAGCCTCAGCCTCAGCCTCAGCCTCAGCCTCAGCTGCCTCAGCCTCAGCATCCTGCCTTCAGCCTCAGCCTCAGCCTCAGCCTCAGCCTCAGCCTCAGCCTCAGCCTCAGCCTCAGCCTCAGCCTCAGCCTCAGCCTCAGCCTCAGCCTCAGCCTCAGCCTCAGCCTGCCTCAGCCTCAGCCTCAGCCTGCCTCAGCCTCAGCCTCAGCCTCAGCCCAGCCTCATCAGCCTCAGCCTCAGCCTCAGCCTCAGCCTCAGCCTCAGCCTCAGCCTGCCTTCAGCCTGCCTCAGCCTCAGCCTCAGCCTGCTTCAGCCTCAGCAGCCATTCAAGCCTCAGCCTCCGCCTGCCTCCCTCACCCTGCATGAGCCTCAGCCTCCTCAGCCTGCCTCAGCATCAGCCTGCCTCAGCCTCAGCCTGCCTCAGCCTCAGCCTCAGCCTGCTTCAGCCTCAGCCTCAGTCTGCCTTCAGCCTCGGCCTCAGCCTTAGGCTGCCTCAGCTCAGCTGCATCAGCCTTTGCCTCAGGCTCAGCCCGCCTCAGCATCAGCCTGCCTCAGCCTGCCTCAGCCTGCCTCTGCCTCAGCCTTAGCCTGCTTCAGCCTCAGCCTCAATCTGCCTTCAGCCTCGGCCTCAGCCTCAGCCTGCCTCAGCCTCAGCCTGCCTCAGCCTCAGCCTCAGCCTCAGCCTCAGCCTGCCTCAGCCTCAGCCTCAGCCCTCAGCCTCAGCCTCAGCCTCAGCTTCAGCCTCAGCCTCAGTCTCAGCCTTCAGCCTGCCTCAGCTCAGGCCTCAGCCTCAGCCTCAGCCTCAGCCTCAGCCTCAGCCTCATCAGCCTCAGCCTCAGTCTGCCTTCAGCTCAGCCCTCAGCCTGCCTCAGCCTGCATCAGCCTCAGCCGCAGCCTCAGCCTCAGCATCAGCCTGCCTCAGCCTCAGCCTGCCTCAGCCTCAGCCTCAGCCTGCTTTAGCCTCAGCCTCGGTCTGCCTTCAGTTTCGGCCTCAGCCTCAGCCTGCCTCAGCCTCAGCATCAGCCTGCCTCAGCATTCAAAAGGTGGCCCCGGAATGAAGTTCTGGGACCTCGAAGAACACGAAGTGGCCTACAGTTGGCTCCGGGCATTCAAAATCATACCCAGGAGTGGAGTTCTGGGAACTCGAAGACCACGAAGTGGCCTACAGTTGGCTCCCGGCATTCAAAATGTGGCCCGGGAATGGAGTTCTGGGAACTCGAAGACCACGAAGTGGCTTACAGTTGGTTCCAGGCATTCAGAATGTGGCCCGGGAATGGAGTTCTGGGACCTCGAAGACCACGAAGTGTGTAAGTGTTGGCTAAAAAAATTACCCAGATCGCGCCCGGACCCCCCTGGGGCGTCATGATGCTCTCTTTTGACTTTATTAGAAACCTATTAGTTTTCACTGTTAGGTAAAAACAGGCTCCAGCCGCGCGCGACGACGATGAGCGATGAGCGACGAACCACGAGCGACGACAACGAACGACGACGACGACGACGTCGACGACGACGCCTGCAGACCAGACGCCCATGGGGATTCCTACACGGACACCTACGCGGATCGCAATGCGCACGGCGGCAGTGCCCGGAGCGCACTGAAGGCGGGATCGTTGCGTCATAGGGGGGGAACCGGGGCCCTTGACGCCCGTCATGCCCCAA